CCACCGCGCACCAGACACCCGAACCTCTCGAAGCCCAATTCTGGACATGTCTTCTCTGGCCCAGCAGCGTCGCATCGTCGAGCAGCTCAGACGGGAGTCTGAGATAAAGCGCATCGGCGTGTCCACAGCAGTGGAGGATCTCAAGGTACCGTTCTGTCGACAGAGGGTGATTGATATTTTCAGTGACACATTCTGACACTTGCTTTTCCGTTTACAGAAATACGTTCTGGAGCGCGAGTCGGACGACTTTTTGCTGGTAGGGTTTCACTCCCAGAAGGCAAATCCATTTCGTGAAAAGAGCCCTTGCGTGCTTATATAAAAACTTGTGCGGGCTCGGCCAGCCCGGTCAGCATTTCCCGTTACCGTTCACTATCAATAATGTTTTCCCTATGTTCGCTGTACACAAAAAATTTAAATCTCAAGTTTTTACACAACAAAACTAACACTAACACAAACCTTGAGATACACTTGTTCACCGTAAGACCACCACTTGAGCGTCCGAAATCACAACTCCACTCAACTTCTTGTTGAACGACCAAAACTCACTTCTTTTCTACTATAAAAATGGCCTTATAACTAAACTTTGTTTTCGCTTTTTAGCAACAGTGCCAATCAATAAACAATAAATTATTAAATTGAAAAATTAAAAATTAATCACAGGTAGTTGCAGAGCCACCTGGTTTAATTAGTTCCAAATTACGTCGACTATTACCACCAGTCGGCAAAAACTACCGGTAGTGTCAACGCAATGTGTAGTGCTTTCGCTGAAACTGTGTGCCTCGCACGAGCACAATAGCACGAGAAGTTCTAGTAGACGAGAATTTGTTCTGCTTCCAATAAACACACACACACACACATCTCATTGAAGAAAGAGACATCACTCCACTCGAAGATCACCTCAACCTGGCCATCCGGTTCACTACCACCACTGTGCACCAGCACCCTGGTGCACTGATCCACCAGGCCATTTTGACCGGTTTTGTTTATTTCCAACGCTGTGCTCGGGCGTGCACGCTCGTCGCCGACTCAGGTAACTAATTTGCTAATTTCCCCTGCGACTGCAAAAAGGCAGTCATTACCAGCCAACTGATTCTATTTCTCTTGGCGAAATCGACAGTGGAAGCACCTCAAACCCACCGTTTTACTGGTACAAAACGTGGGCGGTGAAAAAAGATGAAAATGGACTGGCAACCGACACAAGACGGGCTGGACCAAATACTTCAGCTGCTTCGGCAGTCCCAATCAACAGATGTACAGACGCAGAATCATGTCCAACAAAGGCTAGAAGAGCTGAACCAGTTTAACGACTTTAACAACTATTTAGTCTTTGTGCTTTCACGTATGCGCAACGAAGGTAACGATACCGCTTTTGCCTTGTAATCTTGCCTTTTAATTAAGCACCTCTACCTTTGTAAAGATGAACACACGAGATCTCTCAGCGGACTCATCTTGAAGAACAACATCAAGGGTCGGTACAGTCAGTTGCCGAGAGAAGTCATCGACTACGTCAAGGCGGAGAGCTTAACATGCATAGGCGACCCTTCCTCACTGATCCGCGCCACGGTGGGAATCCTGATTACCTCCATCGTCTCACAAGGAGAACTGACAACATGGCCTGAGCTTTTCGATATTCTACTGAAAAAGATGGACTCGGAAGATTATTACGAATGTGAAGGTGCTTTTAGTATTCTACAAAAAGTCTGTGAAGATAGCGCTGAAATGCTCGACTCTGAGGCGTTTCGTCGTCCACTGAATCTGCTCATTCCAAAGTTTCTTCAATTTTTCAACCACCAGAGCAGCAAAATACGATCTTATGCTCTTTCTTGCATCAACAACTTCATAATGAATCGCACGCAAATACTGATGACCTATGTTGACCACTTTATCGAAGTAAGAGACCAAGCTTTATTGATTTGACCACTCTTAACGTTTTTTTAAAACTTAGGGGCTGTTTAAACTGGCAGCTGACACCGATTGTCTCGTGCGGCAAAACGTTTGCAAGGCATTTGTTTTGCTTGTTGAAGTCCGGATGGATAGACTGATACCACATATTCATCTGATTATCGAGGTAAATTATTGTGGATATATGTTTTAGGCAAATCAAAACTACCTTTCCTATCGCGCCATTAGTGAAAATCAGTTTGCTTCTGGTCAGACAGAGAAAGAAAATTATTCGTCATATCACTCCTTTTCCTTTTACATTGATTTCTACTGCGAATGTAATGCTCTTGAGTTAATGACACACTTTTTTCTCCATTTTTCTAGTTTATGCTTCTCAGCACCCAAGACAATGACATCAACGTGGCTCTAGATGCTTGCGAGTTTTGGTTGACGCTCGCAGAGCAGCCCATCTGCCGAGAAGTTCTTACGCCCCATCTCTCTCGACTAGTTCCCATTTTAATGCAAAAGATGAAATATTCCGAACTTGATATTGCACTCCTCAAGGGTGATGTGGAGGAGGACGAGATGATTCCCGACAAAGAGGAGGACATTAAGCCGCGCTTCTACCGGGGGAAAACACACGCTCGAATGGACGACAGTGAGAACAATGAGGCCAACTCTGATGATGAGGAGGACGACGACGATTGCGACGGTGGCAACAGCGAGTGGAATCTGCGCAAGTGTTCCGCGGCGGCACTGGACTTGCTGGCCAATGTCTTTCACGATGATCTGCTGCCGGTGGTGTTGTTGATTCTCCGCGAGACGCTCTTTCACCAAGACTGGATCACCAAGGAGGCAGCCGTCCTGGCGCTGGGCGCCATTGCCGAAGGCTGCATGCTGGGCATCATCCAGCACCTCCACGAGCTAATACCCTACCTGATTCAGTGTCTGAATGACAAAAAGGCGCTGGTCAGGTCCATCACTTGTTGGACGCTGAGTCGATATTCTCACTGGGTTGTTCAGCAGAACCACGATAGCTATCTCAAACCTTTAATGACTGAGGTGAGTGGGGAAGCTTTCTTCTATGAAAATGCCCTTTACTAACAACCACTTTTTTGCTTAGCTTTTGAAACGCATTTTAGATTCAAATAAAAGGGTCCAGGAAGCTGCTTGCAGCGCGTTTGCCACTCTTGAGGAAGAAGCAGGTACGGATTTGGTTCCCTACCTCGAGTACATTCTCAAGACACTAGTCTGTGCGTTCGGCAAATACCAGGTATGTCTGCACTTTAAATATTTATTTGATAGTTTAGAGTTAGATGATGACATTTCCATTGTTGCTTGACATCATTTTCGCTGATAGCTTCAAGTATTCGTACTGTCTGATTGTTTGTTGTAGGCCTTTACACAGAGGGTTTTCATTCTCGTTCCACTACTCATGTACAATTTTTTCGCTTACAGCACAAAAATCTTTTGATTCTCTACGACGCAATCGGGACGCTGGCAGACTCTGTAGGCCACAACCTGAATAAACCCGACTATATTGAACTGCTGATGCCACCACTGATTCAAAAGTGGAACTCTCTAAACGACTATGATAAAGACTTGTTTCCACTACTTGAAGTAAGCAAACCTTGATTAGATAAATGATCAGAATTTACTCAAAATGTTTGTTTCAGTGCTTCTCCAGCGTAGCTACAGCCCTTCAAACGGGATTTTTGCCCTACTGTGAGCCCGTGTACAACCGTTGCCTATCGCTGGTTGAACAGACCCTCAAGTTTAACACGGTAATTACTTCTTTCAACCGTTTACAAGGATTTTGCTTTCTATGATGACTATTATTGCTGCTTGACAACTAGCTGAGGGCTTGCAAGTATTCGTACTGTCTGAATCGTTTGCAAGTCGAAACATGTCATTACCAGTTTCAGCGAAGCACTTTTTAATCATCTTTTTTCTATTTTCAGATGTTTCTTGAAAACCAAGAACAGTACGATCCACCAAACAAAGATTTTCTCATTGTGGCCCTTGATGTCCTGAGTGGCCTAGCGGAAGGCCTTGTCGAACATATGAATCCCCTCATCGCCAAGAGCAGCATAATGTCTTTGCTCTACCAGTGTATCAAGGTACTTTATTTCAGTAAAATTTTTGTATTTTATTTACAGCTTTTTGTCTCAACAGGACCCAATGCCCGAGGTTAGGCAAAGCTCATTTGCACTGTTGGGCGAGCTAACCAAAGCCAGCTTTGTGCATGTTGAGCCCTGTGTCAGTAAGTGTTGCCAACGTCTAGGATTTTCAATTCTGGACTACAATTTTTTTGCTTTACCTTTTTTTAGACGAGTACATGCCCATTCTGGCGCAAAACTTGAAGCCTGAGTTCATCTCTGTTTGCAACAATGCTACCTGGGCAATTGGAGAAATATCCGTCAAATACAAACAACAAATGCAACCTTACATTACGATAATTTTGCCCCAACTTGTGATTAACCTCAATCAAGCCGACACACCAAAGACGCTGCTCGAAAACACTGGTACGTTGTTTTTGCCAAAAACTATTGAGATAAAATAACAACTTGACATGTGCTTTTTGCAGCAATCACGATTGGTCGTCTTGGACTCGTATGTCCCAAAGAAGTTGCGCCTCACCTGCAACAGTTTATCCGACCATGGTGCTCTTCGCTGCGCAATATTCGTGACAATGAAGAAAAGGACTCTGCGTTTCGCGGCATTTGCAGTATGATTAGCGTAAACCCATCTGGGGTCATTCAAGATTTCATATACTTTTGTGATGCGGTTGCTTCTTGGAATAATCCAAAAGACGACTTGAAAAACATGTTTCTTGAGGTAATCTTTTCGTTATCTTTTCTCTACTGGTTAATTTTCAGTTTTTGTCTTTTTAGATTTTGCATGGCGTGAAAAACCAAGTCGGCGAAGAAAGCTGGCGTGCTTTCTCTGAACAATTTCCTCCGATGCTAAAAGAACGACTCGTCAATCAATATGGAATTTAGACACTTTTTAGCTTTTTATTTTTTCAAACCTTTAGGCACATTTTTCAATTATTCTGATTAGCTGACAGGCATATATTTCAAAAACAGTCAAAAGTTTTTAGGAGATGAAATGCAACTAAAATATTACATTCTTAGAAGTGCATTTTTTGCGCTGTCAAAACAAACCTTACTTATATCATTTTTTTTGTCGACACTTGCTAGTCTTTCCTTTTCCTTTCACTTTATTTAAAAGAATAGTTCAATAACAGAATTTCAACGGCCACCGCCACACATTCACTCTGTCTCCACTGTACATTCAACAGCGATCCCCTTTTCTCTCACGCTTCACCAGTGACCGATGCAATGTTGTTTTCCAATTTTTTCGTTTAGTGCAACTCTGCTCGCTTTCTCTTTATCTCTGAAACATGTACTTTACCTGTAATTATTTATTTATTTATTATTCTTATCTCTGATGATCCCCGACTACTTGTCTTTTACTTGTACTCTTTACACGTCCACTCATTCTTTGTGACAAACATCTTTTTGTATTACAATTTTATTATTAGAAAAACGCGTTTTCCTCTTTTTGAAAGACTTTATTTTTGCATAAATTTCTCTTTATTCGCTTGTAAAAGGTTTCAAAATTGACCTTTTGTGAGTCAAAATTGAAAATGGCACTCAAATTGAGCGACTATTGCGACCCAGGGGGTGAACGCCGAGTGTGAAAAAAGCATTGTTGTTGCAAAGCACACTCACTGCGGAGTTCACTGGCAATCTCGACATTACAATTTGCATCTTCTTGGCCTTACTTCTTCACTTCGAGGTCTTGACAACCTCCACTTTAGCACAAGATGAAGATCACACTCAAGACCCTGCAGCAGAGTCAATTCGACGTGGAAATTGACGAAAACGAAACGGTTTGTTATCTCCCAGTCTCGTGTCCATTCACAGCAGTAAACAAAAGTGCTTATTCATCTTTAGGTGCGAAACCTCAAAGAAAAGATTCAGTCTTCAAAGGGAGCCGATTACAATGCCGACTGGATGAAACTCATCTACTCGGGTATGTTCAATGTCAACTGTGTTCTCATTTCACTCATTCTTTTCTTTCACACCTTACAAGGCAAAATTTGGGGCGACAATGATGTCCTGAAGTCCTGCTCATATGACGAGAGCAAGTTTGTCGTTGTTATGGTGACCAAGCCCAAACCGGCTCCAGCTGCGGCAAACCCTCCGCCCAAGGCTAGCCAGCCCGCTGCTGAACCAACTCCCCCGGATTCTCCCACTCGAGGCACAGCCTCAGCCGGCGGTGCCGCCACCGCTTCCTCTTCCATTGCTGCCGAGTCGACCATTGTCATTGGCAGCGATTATGAGCGCATTGTCGCGCAACTGGTCGAAATGGGATACGGACGACCTGAGGTGGAACGTGCCCTCCGTGCTAGCTTCAACAATCCAGACCGTGCTGTCGAGTATCTTCTCTCAGGCATTCCAGTTGATTTGGAAGAAGGTGGCGGTGCTCCAGCCGCTGGCAATGTCCCTCCGGCTGCCGGTGGAGCTCCGGCCTCTGCTGGAGCCGGGGCCCCTGCAGCTGCCGCTGGCCGTGGAGAAAGTGGCGCCGGCGGTGGCGGTGGAAACCCTTTGGAATTTCTAATGGCTCAACCTCAGTTTCAGCAAATGCGACAGGCTGTTCAGCAAAACCCTGCACTTCTTAACACTCTGATGCAGCAAATTGGCCGCAACAACCCTCAACTCATGGACATGATCAACCAGAACCAGGAAGATTTTCTGCGAATGATCAACTCAAACGAGCCTTTGCCTCCAGTTATTCCAGCTGCTGGGCCTGGTGCCGCAAATGCTGAGGCTGCTGAGGCTGCTGCAAGTCTGGAAAGTCTGATTGGCTCTCATCATCGGCTTTCAACTGAGGAGAAGGAAGCTGTTGACCGAGTAAGTGGAAAATATACTTCAGGACGCTTTTAACATTTTAACAACTTGACCTTTGCTTTTTCCTCAGCTCAAGGCGTTGGGATTTCCAGAGTATTTGGCCCTCCAGGCCTACTTTGCGTGTGATAAAAATGAAAACATGGCCGCCAATTTCCTGCTCTCGCAAGCCTTTGAAGATTGAAGATAAAAGGAGGAAACATCTCAAAGATTGGCCATTTCAACTGATTTCGTTTTCGAGGAGATTCTTTTTATAGAAGATAATAATTATGATACACACACATTTAAACTTGTAAATTTAGCAAACCGCACACACAATAAAGTAATTTGTGTCATTTATTAATAATATTGTCACCATTGCTTTGCGAGACGAAAGATGTTTATGTACAGCTGTGAACATGAGACGACACCGGTTAATTGGGGGATGTGACAGTAGAACAAGTGTGGACTATAAATACAAAAATATAAATGTGTGTGTTTTACCAGCAACCAAATGTGAATGTAGGAAGGGGTGTGTGTGGTTTGGGTGGAGGCATAGGAAAATAATATATTACAAAATTGGTGTGAATAATACAAGCGAGTGAATGTGTGTGAGAGAGGGAGAATCATTGCTGTAATCTGTTATCCCGTAACAAGTAGCAAAATTGTTGTATAAAAGTTAGCGGCTGCAATAAGTCATGTTGTTATATGAGATGAATATAGCAACTGTCAGCTGTAAAATGGGAAGGGAGGGGGAAAGGGCTATTTACAAGAGGATGGAGACGAAGAGGAGAATATTTGAGGTCAACTACTAAAATATGTTTTTCCTACATACATATATCACATTGAGACAGTCTGAAGTACCGGGGTAGGCAAAAGAGTGTTTGCACTTGAGATAAAACAGGAGACTTGAGAGTTTTGAGGGGGAGGAGAAGAAGGTGAAGAGGACACGACTACTCCTGCTTGCTATACTCGCCTTGCACACCGTACGAAGACACCGGTACCGTTGAGGTGAGATTGGAGGAGACAGCAAAGGAGTTGCTCACATTATCGTTTAGTTGCACTTCATTGGAGGAGGAGTCCTTGTCGGGGAAACCAGGAGGACTAGCGGTGAGCTCAAAGTGCTGGCGCGACGAAGACGCCTCCACTACAAACTGGTACAGCTTGGCGTACTTGTCACGCGCCATTTCCCGAAGCATCATCAGCTGATTGTACTGATTCTCAAGGTGGTCCTTCTGATTGAACATCGTGTCCACCTCTGTCTGCAGGCCCATAATCTGGTCAAGCTTTCGCTTGCGACAGTTTTGAGCAGCCACCTTGTTCTTGCCTACACAGGGATTGTTCAAGTGATTAGTGGTGATGGACATAAAGACCAAATAATGTACTTACCTCGTCGCCTAATGTCACGAATGAGGGAGAGCTGCATCTCAGTCAGCTCGTACTTGGTCAGACGCTCGTTAAACTCATCGATCGGAAGGTTGATAATGTCCGCAGTAGAGATTGGAATTTTCAATGCCCTGGCTCGCTTCTCATCCCGATTCAAGTGGTTGTCCTTTCGGTCAAATTCCTGGGCAGCACTCGATTGCTGTTGTTGCTGCTGCTGCTGCTGAGCCTTTTTGGTATTCGACTTGCTAGAAGTCTTCGTGGGCGTTTCCGACTTTTTGACCGAGCCATTTTGCTGTTCATTGCTGTTCTCGCCGGCAGCAGTGGAAAGCCAGCTGCTGTTGGGAATGTTCTCTGAAGCAGGCGCAATAGAAGCCACCACTTCAGCAGGCTGAGCATAAGTGTGGTTATGGCCCACGACGGTGGCGTAGTAGCTGCCGCCCATAGGGTATACCTCATCGCCCACCGGAACAGTCGAGTACATGTAGTTGTGCCCCTGTCCGTAGTCAATGTAGTACTCCTGGGGAGGAGGAGGAGGATTCTTCAGCTCGGCGTTCTTGTTCTTTCCAAAGAAGCGATACTTTTTCTGAGCAGATGCATTGAGCTTGTTCTCATGGGTAAAATCACCGTTGTACGAAGACTCGGATGATGTCTCGGCCCATTCCTAAAGTTGAAAAACAGTTATAGTCTACTAGAGAAGAAAACTAAAGCTAGAAAAACTTACATTTTCCGAAGAAGAGTGAACCCGGTCAGAGCTCATGGAGGAAACGGCCGAATCGCTGTTCTTGTCGAAGCAATCCTCAGTGCCCGCAGTGGGAAACTGGCTCGCGGTGCCGTGGCTGATGGTGGTCTGACTTGGCGGGTAGCACGGCGGCGGCTGCTGAGATGGGTAGGTAAACTGAGAAGCATTGGTTGCCACCTCAGAAATCGGAATCTCATCAGGCAGATATCCATTGTAGAAGCAGTCAGAAGTAGAGACATTGTTCACCGAAAGGTTTGAGACATTGCTCATGTAGGCCAGATCGTTGATGTCGCTAGTGTACGCGAGGTGCCCAGAAGTGGGAACTTCGCTGCTCAAGTGCTCAGACCCATTAGTGAGAGTGGTCAATGAGGAGTAGAGAACTGCGCCAAAGTTGCCATTGTTGTTTGAGAAAGAGGCTTTAAATAAATAGGTGCAAGTTGTAAAAGCTGCTCAATGATGCTGCCTAGGAATTAGTTAACTTACCCGATGGAGTGGTCAGCTGGGCAGAAGTGCCCGCTGGCTCATACACCGAACAGTTCTCAATGGGACGCCCCTCGGTGGAGGCCAAGCTGGAAGGGTCGTAGATTGAGTAATCAGTTGTAGACTCGCCATTTGGCAGCTGACTGTAGAAACCTGCCGACGACTGCCATTCTTGACCATAGTTTTCCGTTTCATTCTGCGAGGAGGAAAGGGCAATTTATGAGCAATCGAACAGATAATAAAATATATTAAAAGAAAAACGAGAAGGGTAAGCAAGAAAGGGCACAGAGCATTAGCACACAATGGCTCGTTAATCACTGGTGATGCCTGCTGATGGAACACCACACTCACCAGGCGCTTCAGGTACGCGTGATTGGCAGCAACAGGCAGTGCCGTCGCCGCCGACACTGGAGCACTGAGAATATAGACCGAAGCGTGTGGTTCCATCATTGGAGGGTAATGGTGGAGTGAGGTGCCGGGAATCGGTGAACAANAAGACGAGAAGGGTAAGCAAAAAAGGGCACAGAGCATTAGCACACAATGGCTCGTTAATCACTGGCGATGCCTGCTGATGGAACACCACACTCACCAGGCGCTTCAGGTACGCGTGATTGGCAGCAACAGGCAGTGCCGTCGCCGCCGACACTGGAGCACTGAGAATATAGACCGAAGCGTGTGGTTCCATCATTGGAGGGTAATGGTGGAGTGAGGTGCCGGGAATCGGTGAACAATTGGGCTGTGGTCTCCACTCGACTCGACAAGCCACCAGTCTGATTAGCACCTTCGATGAGTGTATGTATTTTAAATAAGACAATGATCGCAGCTACTGCCAAGTGACACTTCCGACGACGACGAAGGTTTGTGGTCTGTCTCTCGGTGAGCTCTCAGCAAGCACTGCTTCGGTCGCAAAGTGGTTAGCGTATTAATCGAACGCACTCATATAGACTAGACAGGTAATGAGCCACTGTGCCTGTGCAGAGAGTGGCAGACTAGTGAAAGAAGAGGAGGCGGCGACACCGAGCCGTCTATTGGCTACGCAAAGGTGGCGGGGGACTGGCGCCGAGAGCGACTACTGCTGGCAAGAGCACCGACAGGACGGCAAGACAGTGGCCAATCGCAGTGACAAATAGACAAGGCTGCTGCTGATGCTCCGGGGAGACGGCCGAAGGCATGCGAAAACAGGAGCAATATTCAAATTGGGCCCTGGAAGCACACATACACAGAGCAGCAGACCGGACAAAAAGTGCTCTTTCTCTCTCTCCTGTGGAAGGTAACTTCGAGCGAGTGTGACGCAACCAGTGTGTCTGTATTGGGCACAGAGCAGACCACCGCCATCTCCATCAAACTGCTGCTTCAACAGGTGACAAGTAGGCGCAGTGGCAACGACTGCACAGAACAGAGGCCGTCGACGAGGCTAGAGCGCACTGACTGGGCCGAGTACGGGAGCAAGAGCATTTGGACATACGTGCCGGCGCATAGAATTTCGCAGTGAAAAGGATGCCACACCGAGCGCTCGCACTCCACACGAAGCACTTGTCTTTCCTTGTGGAGTCAAAGAGAAAACAATTGAATCGTATGGTGAGGCACGAAGTGGTCGGAATCGCAGTGGCGTAGTGTGTGCACAGTGGCCAGATCCCTGCTTAGGTGCGCTCTCAATACACAGCAGCAACATCAGCAGAGGTGCCTCTTCAGTGTGCTGCAATGATTGTAAACTGGTCCAATACCGAAGACATAACGAATCGTTTTTCAGTGTTCACCGAAAAACGCATCCAAACAGAGTGCCACAGCTCGTCAGCACAGCAGTGCTCTGCCAGTGGGCACTTCACATTTATGCGTTCGTGCCGGTTTTCCTGAATTAAAAACGTCTCAAACAGTTTTGCCTGCCGGTGCACCAGTCAGGAAGCAAACGGCGATAAATTAAAAACAAAGAAACAAATTAGAGGTCCCAAAGAACAAAGAGACAAACTGCGTTTGAGGAGTTTGTCCTGTCATCAGCGCTGTCCTAGCTTGGACCGAGCAGGTCAACTCAAATTTATGGCCTCCCATCAGTGAGAGACAACAAACTGTTTAAGCTGCCACAACAACTCCTAAAGAACCGCCGACGATCATCAAATTGGTTAGTTTGTGTCGAGTTGTGGCGGCCGGCCAAGGGGAGCTAGCGCTCACTCGGCCATCGACTTGTTGCACTGTTCCTCCTCACTCTCACTCTGCTGCAGTCTCAATTTCCATGTTTCTGCCTGCCTGCCTCAGTGACAAAATGGTAATCGGAGGTAGTGTGGAGTAGCCAAAGTCGCGGCGACGAGCGGTAGTGCTCTGGGCAGCTTGACGCGCCGGAGCCCCACAAATCAAAACGACAGTCGAAGGACAGTCAAAGTGGAGGAACCCCTCATTTGATGGCTCTATTGTTTCTGCTGCTGCTGCTGCCATGATTGACTGCCGGCGGAGAGCAGGCCACTACTACTACTGCCACCACCTGAGGACCATTCTCGAGTGTCTGCACTGAGATGCCCGGGTCCTGCACGTATACATTTTCTGTTAATTGGTAATAATGCAATGGACATTGGAGAGCTCCAGACGAGAATCGCTTTCCTGTGCGTGTC